GCCGCCTAAAGCGGGGCCCCGGCCCCGTGGCATGTGCAGCCTGATACAGCAGCAGCAGATCGACTTTATGCGGCGGCAGGGCCGGAGACGTGCCAAACATCTGGCCAGGTCGCCCCGCACCGCTGACGCTCGCGCCACAGATCTAGGACAAATGGGCTCCTTTGTTTTTATCTATTTGGGCATCACCAGAGTCGGGGGCTTTGCAGGACGGCAGCTTGGGAACATTAACTCACCGTAGGGTTATTTTGTCTTCATGCTAAATTCTTCCAGGAGATGTCAGCTGCCAGGATGTGTCATTTCTGCTTCATGGGGCTGGCTTGGCATTCTGCGAACATGACAAAGTGACAAGAAACCGCGTTCCTGAGGAACGGTTCAATCCGGGCAGTAACTCTCTAACAAGCGCAAGCTGAGCGGGCTCCTCCTGGCTGACTCAGACGGGCCAGAGACGCCTGCGGAGGTGGCCGTGGCAGGGAGGACGTGCCGTGAGCTGCCCCCAAACAGCGGTAGCCTCCACCAGCACGTGCTCCAGACTGCCCAGCGCCCAAGGGCAAGACCTGCGCTGGCCATCTGCCAGCCCGAGGACCGGTCCTCTGGGGCTCTGGCTTGGCCTGTTGGAAGCTGCTGGGATCTCCCAAACTTCATGACCCAGCACCCAAAATGCAGCGTGGGCACGTCCCTGCCATTGCCCAGCTCCCCTGCGAGTGCAAAGGGAGCCTGCAAGCGAACCAAGCCGGCCCGTTCCTCCAGTCAAGCCTTAAAAACCCAGGCCCCTTAAAACCAGACTTTGCTCTTGGCCCTTCTGGCTCATTCATATCCACCCCCAATACAACCCGCACCGTAAGTAATCGGTGTCACCTACACAGATAATATTTCCCGATCAAAAACGTTTTCACAGCACACATTCCCATTAACACCAGGACCAGGAAAAGCTGCTTAGGGCAAAAAAAGGCGAATGGGTTGTAGCTGGGTGTCATTCAGTGAGATACGCACACATGGACACACATCTGTCCCCCTGCGCCGCCGCGATATGAGGGAGTCACCCCGTACCTGTGCTCAGCAGCTGCCCAAGTGCCGCCCGCAGGAGGCTCTGTGGCGAAGAGCCCCCGTCGCGGTGACCTTCCCTCGCGCGCCCTGGCAGCGCGGACCTGCTTTGCTAAGCTGCTGAGCTGCTAAAAGGGCAGGAAAAGCAGCGATAGGAATCCTCCCCCAGAAATTCAGCGCTTGCTGGGGCCGTGCAGGACTCGGAGAAAGCCATCAGCGTTACTGAGCATCTTCCCATTGCGCCAGGGGAAGACGTGGTGCCCAGCGCCCCGGGCATGGACACGGTTCCTTCACCACCAGCTCTGGTAGAGCAGGAGGTTGCGGTCGTTCTCCCTCGGCCACGGAAACCTGGCGCGAAGGCGCGCAGCGTCGTGGCGCGGGGGCGGCCGCCAGCAGAACAACCCAGAGACCCGCTTTCAGTCGGTCGCTCCCTGCCGCGTCGGCCGGACAGGACGAGCCCCGTCGCCAGCTGCCCTTAGACCGACGGGAGCAGCAAGCCCCGGCCTCGTTTCCACCTCGAGCGCGCCTTTAAACAGCTTTTAGGAGCCGCTTTCAGCTGCATCTCTCCGCGTAATGTCAGCTGGGGTGATGCGTTTTAAGTGTTACTCTTAAGTACAATTTTTCTGACACAGTTTTTGTGCCTCCTCTCACAGCTCAGCGATGTTTTCAGGCCAGCAAGTCAGAGACAAAATACACTGCATTTTTTTTTTCAAATGCCAAGCGCTGAACGCTCTCTCTTCCCCAGCCCTTTGCAGTTCTGGAAGACATTTGTTACACTGTTGCCTGGAGGTTTGTTTTGCCAGAACTTTTGTTTTTCCACCCTGGCTCCGAGTGCAGCGTCGCGTTTTCTTTGTGCTCATCCAGCGCTTGAAGATGAAATAAAAAAATTGTCGTGCTCGTGCAACTGAGTTAGTTTGTTGGCCTCTATGGAAATCAGCCACACGCGCTGGTGGAGGAGGTTGCTAGAGAGGAGAGAGGGGATGTAAATTTGGCGGATTAGTTAATTGCCCAGATTCACTTGTCTATGTCAGTGTAACTGTCAGCTCCGTTATTGGCTTCGTCTGGTGCCAGTGAGACACATCTGAGCCCAGAGATGTTAACAACTACGGCCTGCAGCGTTCAGCTATAGGAACAGACAGGCAGGATCCAAGGACCTAGAGCCACAGGCTGAAGTCTGAGACTTTCTTCCTTCCCGTGTCTCTGCTGTAAATGGGAAGGAACTGGATCAGTACCAAAACTACAAGCCACATCCATCAACTTTGGTTAAAAATGGACAGTTATTTCAAAGTTATTAGGATGGAGATGAGAGAAATGCATAAGCATGCATGCACACAGGTCAAAACATTGCATAAAGAAAACAAAGCCAATACATGGCTACAGAAGCTCCTGCCTAACTCACATGGTGAGCGTGGCCCCATTGCCGAGACAGGGCTGGGATCTGTAAAGGCATCTTCAACATCCACTGCTACATTAACACCCCCTCTCCTCCCAATGCCTTGACAAAAACAAGAGCTGGTTTTGAGCATAAAGCAGCTGCATGGGGTATCTTATCACTGCCAGCTCATCTCCGTTTCATGCTGAAGCCAAAGGAAGCCAAAGGAAGTGAAGTGCATGTCTGAAGTGATCTCTGAAGTCACCGAAGAGGCTGCAGAGCTCTGCTCACACATTTGGAAGCGACTGATGCCAGGAGACACCAAGGCTTGCTGCTGCTCTGTGCAATTTGCTCTCGCCGTGCAGGGAAGGGAAGGGGGGGGGACAGCCTGCACTGCTGGCTCCAGCGGGCCCCTCTGATTTGGGCTGGCCCCAGCGCTCAATCAGGCTTCCCAAGGCCCTATCTCTTCCTGCTGGTCTGCTACTTGGTGTCCTCCTCCTGTGTACATGACAGGTAGCCGAGGAAGGGGAGCCAGGCGTTCAGTCTGTCCCAGGGCTTGGATAGATGCATCTCCCTGTGTCATCGCGTGCAATGTCCTTTTCCCACCGCCACATAGACGTTACTGCCTTCCTGCCTCCGTCTCCACTTGCCATTCATGCACTGACGCTGCAGCAGCCATAGGGCTGATGACGTGCACACGCAGTGTGCAGCAAGCATCCACCCACTGCAGCTGCTCTGGGGAGGAAGGAAGAAATTGCATTAGCTCTTCCTCACATGCTCCACTTCTGCCTTCGTCTCCTTTCAGTTCCCACTGCACCTGCCGCTCCCTAGGTTCCTTTCCTCTTGCAAATGCGCTTTTGGCGTGTTTTGTCCTTTATTCCTCTTGTTTTAGCTGGCAGCTTCTGTCCCCCTGAGGACTCTGACTCTGCTTGGGGGCTTCCCATCCCTCTACTCACGCAGGGAAGCAGCAGCCCCTATTAACAACCATGAAAGGGTCGTTATCTTGTTTCCAGCTGGTTTATAGACCTCTAGGTAGTGTTCTGGAAACCAGAGAAACAGCTAAAAGCGAGACTCTGTGCTTTGAGATATGGCAGAGTCCCATGACAGCACACTGCAAGCACAGACCTGTCCAGAAATCTGCACAGGCAGTCACCCACCGGTCCTTCCAAGGATGGCAGCAAGGGGAAGATGCCATGTACAGCTGACTGGACACCAGTTTGCTTCCTTCAAAACAAGTACAACTTGGGGAAACCAAGCGTGATCAAGGGTTGGCTGGAAGCCAGAAGTGCAAAGATCAACACTGAACTGGAGACATAAGTACTCAGACAGGATGGTGACCCAGAGATGAACAGCAGCATGGTAGGGTGGCTGCTGCTGATACTTACCGACAAAAAAATATGTTTTAAAAATGAGGTGTCCTGGCAGGCCTGCAAGTGCTCTATGGTTGCTCCGTAGCTCCTGGCACAATCTGCAAAGTGGAGACAGCAGTTGCTCAACCAGGGCTGTCAGGAGCACTTAAGGTGATATATCAGGGCCTAGCTGCTTTTCACTCGAAGAACTAGGATTCAGTGAGCAGGATGGCCAAGGACAAGGGATGCTGCTGTGAACTCAAGCAGCTGGGGCTAGGGCAGGTGCTGGAAATGGGCAGAGGTTTCCTCCTCACTGAGCTGCGAGGCAAGTTTCCACCCGCCGTCACATCTGGTGTCAGCAGCAAACAGGAACCTCTCCCTGGAAGGGGTCTAGGTTATCGATGTGGTGGGCTGTCAGCACACTCTACAAATCAGACAACTTTTTAAATCCTTTGTATCAGTCTAACAGGAAATACATTCCCTCCAATTTCAAAGTGGTCTTTGAGCCTCACGAGCCTGCGGTTTGCTTTTACTCCAACCTAGGGCTGATATCATGAAAGATCTTTGAATAATTAATTCCCAGTTATTTCAGCTTAGGCACAGGTCACACTTAAACTCCTTTTCTCCCAAATGGTGCAATACAAAGCTCCAGTGAGGCTGGAGGACTGCTGAAAGGCAGTGTTGGGATGGTGAAGAGAATGGTGGCTCACCGGAGACAGGTGCTATGCTGGATATGTGCCCTTCCACCAGCCAAATAAAAAAGAGGTGAGAGGGGATGTTTTTGGGAAGCTGCACCAAAATATTGAGAATCTACTGCTGCTTTGAAGAACAACAGTTGCAGCATGCAGACCAAGGAGCTACTGTCCTTCCTCGGTTCACAGCTCCCCATGACATCCCACCAGGCTCCTGTGGCCAGGGGACATGAAGCCCCACAGAGTACTGTGGAACTTGACACATTCAGGAAGATCAAGTTCACGTGTGAAATAAATGAAAACCTCAGTTTTTCAGCTTTGCTTTCTAATAAATCCTTCTTTTGCACGTACCCTAAAAAGGAAGGAGAAATTTGACCATAAATAGAGCTACACAGGCAACACCGAAATATCGGTTCACACTGCAACAGGATAAGGCAGGTTTGGGACAACAGTAAAGTTGTTTTTCCACATGATAGAAAGGTTTGTTTTTCTACTTAAGGACATAGGGAGAGGGGTCATTGGGGTAGGGGGACAGAGGATGGCATCACGAAGGCCCAGGGAATCAAGGCCATCTAATCAGAGAGGAACTGGCCTTCACGGCAAATGTCAACCAGTCTCCTCCAGGCAGGCAGCATCACCAGAGAATGATGTTTACAACATGACATTTTCATGCACTCTGAAAAAAAATTAGTTGGTTTTCAGGGAGAGACTGTCACATCTCCCTGCCTTTGAAATGGGGCATGACGCAGAGCTCTGTTTTCATTAAGACATGGGTCAGGGAAGATACTGCTACAAACGCTGCCTGGGGACAGGAGCTGTGCTACAGCCTGACCGCTGGGGAACAGAGGCGAGACACAAAATTCATTGCAGCATCCCAGACAGTTTCAATGACAGGCTGGCAGAAAGCTCCAGTTTGGAGTGAAGGGCCATAACCCCAAACATGAGCTGCAAGACCAGCTTGAACTTGTGAAGACAGACAGGTTGCTCTGGTCCAGCTCGTTCTCCACAGTGCCCTTCTCAGGGCTTTGGCCTTCTGATTTTGGGGGTCTCGGTCACATTCTTGGAGACTGCACTGTCAGTATCAGACCCCAGCTTACGACTGAGCTGTCGGGGGGAGGGAGAGGTTATGCGCGTGGACCTTGTGCTGACATTGTCCTTGGTGTGAAGATCCCTTCTCCCTTCCGTTTACCCTTCTGACACCAGTAAATCCACTCCCACTTTCATTTTGCTAGGCTAAGCTTCCCAAAGCCCTTTCTTCATCCCTCAAAAGTGTCAGCTCTCCCCTGAACTTCAGAGTAGCTCTTCTCTGCACTTCTTTCCATTCAAATTCCTCTTTCTCGAACAACACCCAGAACTCCATGCCGTATTCCAGAGGCGTTCTTACCTATTCCTGATATTTTTCTACTGGAAATGCCTTGCCCCCACACATGCTAGGACGCATTGTAGTCATCCAGAGATGTACTGCTAGGTATTCCCCAGCTTCCCACAGAAAGTCCTGTCTCTGTGAAGGACACCACACTTTGCACCATTTCATTTCATCCAGTTCCCCTCTTTCGTGTTCAGACACACAGGCCTGTCTTTTGATTGAGAGGACAGGACACCTCAGGGCTCCTTTCCACCACCTTTGCCCAAGCACTTGGGTCCCAGGCCACATTGCTGGGCTCCTCAGTGCACTTCTGTGTGTTCCCAGCCCCTGCCTGAACCCCAAACACCACCCATGCCAAAAAGGGGGGCAGTGGGTTTGACTAATGTGACAAATGAGCATGGTTAGTTCTTTGCTCGAAAAAAAGGGTCATGTTGGGCTTAGTCCCCCTCTTTTTCTGCATCTTTTGCAACGGTTAACGTGAACTCTTCAGCAGAGGGATTGCCTCACATCCCTACAGCAAAGGCATACCTGTCTTTACAGCGCCCAGAACAACGCGGCCAGGCTGGATTTGGGGCTGCAACACCTACTGTAACGTCAACCATAGAGCAAAGACCACCTCACCATTGCCAGGGCTGTTTTATTTTGGGGGGGGGGACAAAGTGATGGGGAGGGAAGCATGAGTAGGGATGTCCACAGCATCCTCCCCATCCCACCTCTCGCCATTTCTGCTGCCGCAGCTCTGCTGGGGGAGGTTTAACCCTGCTAATGCAGGTGCAGCCAGAAACATCTGTGAGTGGCATGGAGGAAATAGGCTGCTTAATGTACCTTGCCATGCCGGATCAGGTGACCGGCTACCAGCTTTATTGGCCCTAAAAGTTGATCAGCTCTAATTTGAAGCCATATGCTTTTGTCTAGAGAGGTTCTGCTTGACTGGAGCCGTGAAGGCAGCGACGAGAGCGAGCGGGGAGGGGAGAGGCTGCGGGTGAAGCCGATGCCCACGCAGGGGTCCTGGGCCGGCAGCGAGCCGGGGGCAAAGCCGGCCCCGCTGGCAGAGGGGACCCTGCACAGGGCTTGCACTGTCACACGGTGGGTGTCAAATTTGGGGTCACTGTCTGGGGAAGGGCACGGAGAGGACCTTGGCTGGCGCCCCGCTCTGGCACGGGGCCTCGGAGGCCACGCAGACGACTGTCTGCGGTCGAAGCAGCCCCGATTTCACCCCGAGCCCTGTCACAGAGCATCTCGCACAATGTCACCGGAGGAAAAGCCCTCTCAGTGCCCGAAGGGAGGCGAGCGCTTAGCTCCTGCTAATAATCCTGGACAGGGCACGATAAGAGATGCTATAGAAACTCCTCCGAGCCTCAGAACAGCTGCACTAAATCCCTTTAGTCCTAAGCAAGACATTTGTTTACAGGGAGACTAGATTTTATTACCCGCAGTTGTCTAGTACAGCCTGTACGCAGCCTCCCGCCGCCCCCCTCGGCCGGGCGAGCGCTGGCACACATCAAACAACCTTATCTGAAGGGTTTATTTATTAGGTCCATGGCAGGAAATTGAGGGTTTGGTCAAAGTGGATTTTCGAAACCCAGATCACCTCTTTGTTTAAAGGATTTCAGTGGTCGGGAGGAGGGATGAGCACAGGGACCATGCCGGGAGATTTCGACAAGAGGCAAAATGTCTCCGTGGGAGCAAGTGGACCTGAAGGGGGAAGAGGAGCCAGCAGCCAGGATGCCTCAAGCTCCTCACGATTATTAGGAGGCCTCAGCAGTAAAATCCATCTGAGAAAGGATGGCAGAAAAATCAGAGACTACTTGGAAAATGGTCAGGATCAAACCCTGAGGGTCAGGAGATGCGGCGAGGAGCAGAGCTGGCTCCTAGAGTAGGGTCTCTCCAAGGGGAAATGGGGTGGGTTTGGGTCCAAGCAGCCTGTAGGCGAGTTTCGGAGGGACATTGCCAACATCTGTAACCTGAGAGGTCTCATCCAGACCTGTGAGAGGTCCCACATTTCTTCCTGGCATCCTGGTCTCTTTTGGAGGAGCTACAGTGCCCAGCTGAGCTGATGGTCTGCTACACAATTCACCTCCAATTCAGAACAGAACCTGAGCTGAGATGGACACGTGCCATCAACAAGTAACACAACTTACTGCTCGCGGCTCTCCTTGCTCCCTGGCCTCTTCGCTATCAAACGAACAACAGCTCTGGTGAACGGCAGCCCTCACCTCTCGCAGCCAGCTCCTGTCTCATGTCACCCGGCACTTAGAGGCTTTAATTAACTCCTTAACTACATCTGGCCCTGGGAGGTCACCAGGGGGCAGGGAGGCTGCTGCAGAGGAGTCAGGGGTGGTGTGACACCTCTCTGGGGACATTAGCCCCAGGGTGTCTCCTGGGAAGACATGCACCTTGGCCAGGCCGAGCCGTGGGCTCTCCCCGCTCCGGGCAGCGCGCACCCCACGGCGGCCCCAGCTCACACCGGGGAACAGGATCCTTGAGCGTGCCCAGACTACACGCTGTTCCAGACAGAGGTGACACACCGCGACACGTATAGCTCATAAATCTATGTATCAGGGAGGTCTGCGACTCTCATTTAAAGTGGGGGTGGAAGCTATATAAAGTTTCAGATTTCTCCTCTCACCTGTCGCAAAACCAAAGGCCATTTGGATTTAATCTCCTGCTGGGGGAGAGGCAAGTTTAACCCTCCTGTGTGCAGGAGGAAATTGAGACCAAGTGTCCCAGGTCCTGGGTGAGAATCAGCCTCACCAAACCCACGGGGTGGGAGAGAGGATCAGTGGCAGCCCCTCTTCTCTCCCATTTTCCCTGGTTTCCCATTCAGGGCTCAGGCCAGGAGGAAGAAGCAGCAATTCATCCCCTGGGTCCCCATCAGGCTTTTGCCCAGCTGCTCTTCACAACGATGGGAGACACCTGGGGACATGCTGCTCCCCAGGGACATTCTCACTTTGATTTCTCATTACAGACCGCTTCCTCCTCAAGGAAAAGCGAAAACCAGAAAGCTCTCCTGCAAACGCTGCCGCTCTCACGTACGCCATGAATATAACCATGGGCAGAAACAGGAGGTAGGAGCAGACAACAGGCTGTGCAGGGTGAAGAGCACCCTGCTGACGTGGGCTGCCTTACCTGCATCTGTGTCCCATCATGGGACATGCGAAGCCATGGGGTCCCCAGGCTGGCACCAGCTCATTCCTTGGCTGTCCTGCTGGCCGGGCTCAGGGAAGATGAGGCTGGAGGAGCCAAGAGCATGGAGAGCAGCAAAGCAGCACGCATCTGCAAGCTCTTCTTCGCTCCGGGTCAGCCTGACTCTTCTTCAGCCAGGTTATGGGGTCAGCCAGCCCCTGGCAGCTGGCATTATGTAGCAGTAAGGGGGCTGCAAGGGAGGAGGAGGACACGCTTTGCGTTGCAATTCACAGCCCGCTTCACTTTCCCAGAGGCAATCCGAGAGCCCAGCTCCGGCTCTCTCCCAGCCTGGAGACCCATCAGCAGCTTGCATGCTTGGGAGTGAAGTCCTGCTGGCGGGAAGAGGCTGGCGAGGACAGAAAGCCCGCTGCTCTCAGTCCCACCGTCGGCTCCTTTAGCTCCCAGAAACTGGCCCAGGCTGCAGGTGGAGGAATGCGGTCGCAGCCCTGTCTCAGCTCACGGAAATCATGGTGCTGCAAACTATCTGTCGCAGCAGTTTATGATGAACCTTATTTCTAGCAATGGGCAAGCAGTGCTGCTCCCTTGAGCTAGGGAACCACTTCTTCCAGTGTATAAGCTTACAAACTGCTTATCTGCCCCAAATCAGCAGCCTTGGCACTGCCAGGGTACCGGGTCATCACACCCCGGACTCTGCCTGTGACAGTGACCACTACATCTCGGTGCCAGAGAGGTGTGGGTGCTGTCTGTGCCCTGCCCGCGCCTCCGCCACGCACCCAGAGAACGTCGCTTCCTGGCTCCGTTGCGTTCACTGTCCCCTCTGAACCGTGACCACCAACATCTGCATGCAGCCTTGCACAAAGCATATCCGGGTGCAGCACAGACCGTTCCCTCCTGAATTTTGCAAGTTGTTTGTAATAAAGCAAGTTTCAGCGCTGTACAGGAATTGTGTGTCCTGGGAGGGGAGTATGGGAGCACTCAGCTCGTGGGAAAGGCTCAAGTGCTCCTCTAGGTTCCCACTCGGTCAGTTTGAGGCTATGAACATAAGTCTTCCTTCTGAAATAAAAAGAACAATTACAAAAGATGCTGCAAAACTTGGCAGAACATTACGACATTTTTTGGGAAAGCTCAGCTCAGATCCCTCTAACAAAGGAATTACGCCCCTCCTGTACCACACTGTGTATACTAGTTTATGAACTGTGAGAAAAGGTGCCTTTGTATCATACACCCTGTACTGCTAGAAGTGATGTGCATGGAGTGTGCTTATTTGTGCCGGACCCAGTGTGTTTCTCCTTTACTAAAGTGCTGTTGGCTTTTTCCACGAGCAAGGATCCAGCTCCCTCCTCTGTCCTCGTCCCTGCGCTTCCTCTAGGACCTGCTAATCGCTGGGGCCTCCTGCATTACCCTCGGCACAGTCACCTGCCAGTTCTCGGCAGTGCAATTCTAGGAACTGTCTGTTCACAAAGAGGCAACCGGCCAGCGGCTGGGCAAACCCCCCCCCCCGGGCCCCAACCAGCCCGCCGCTTCGCTCGGCGTTCTCTGCATCTCGCGAGCAAATGGGGTGAAAGCGGCAAAGCTCTGCTCCAAAAAGCAACCAGCAACCGGGGCGGGGGGATGTAGCTCAACACGGTTGCGGGTCTCACAGCTCCTGTGAGCCAGGGCACTAGGGTAGCGTCCGCTCTGCCTGGCAAGGCCAGCGGTAGGAGATAGAGCCTGCTGGCAATGAAGGGCACCCACAGCGCTAACAAAGCCTGTGGGTGGGTGCCCCCTTGGGTGCACTGCCAACCTCAGTGGCCATGCCCACGTGGCCCCCAGACTTTGCTTGCACTGAGCACGCACCAAGCTCAACGTATGCCAAGCTTTCACCCAGCATCACTGTCTTGGCTGGACTGTGGCCTCTTCTCACCACTGTGTCCCCCCTCTTCCAACACGCCAACCTGCAGTGAGAGCACCCACACCAGCCTTGTGCCGTATCGACAGTATCCTGAAGCTATGAAGAAAAAGCATATGTTTAATTTTTCAGGATTCTTCCACAAACTGCCCTATCCTGTCCGTTTGTAAGGGCTGTCCACCCTGCGGTGGCTCTCTGCTTGGGCAGGGCCAGCTGGCACTTCCAGCACGGCTCGCTGCCAGCTCTGCTGCGCTGCAGAGCTGCCTGGGCTCCAGCGCCGGCTCCTGCGCTGACCTCGGGGAGGCAGCCCTCACCTCCCACCTGAGCCCCTCTTGGCTCCCTGAAGTCCCCAACAGTGCACCACAGCTCTCAGCCTCGCGGTGTGGCCTGTCTGTGGGGGGGGGGGGGGGTGAGGACGACTGAGCAGCCCTGTTGTAGCACCTCTCCTCCAAGGGCCCCTTGCTCCCAACCTGCCTTTGCAAGACAGGGGTGGGACCTCCACCTTCCCCAGACCTGCTCACTAGATCGTTCACGCTCCATTCCCAGCTCCTGGCGGTCATTATTTTCTTTCTTTAGTCCTTTTTTCCTGCCACCACGCTCACTCTCCTTCTCCTGGCCAGTAGCTCAAGGCAATTTTCCCTCCCCTGCTCTCTCCAGCCCTGCCCTCAGTCTAAAGACCTGTTATGCTGCGGTCACTGCCTACTCTTCTTGGGGTGATACGGTCTCTTCTGCTGCCAGGGCAGACACCTCCTTGCCAAGGATGGCTCAGGAATAGCGGTTGGAGTCCAGGTCCACTGCTGGGAGAAGTTTTGCCTTCTCTGTGCACCAGCCCCAGGGGTGCAGTTCGTGCTCTATCTTTACACACAGGGCAAGACCGAACGCTCTCTCTCCACCTGATTTCCTAAACCCAGTGCCACAGGGGCTTGATCCTGTCCGCTTCTCTTGGTCCAGCAGCCTTACTGAGGCCAATGCTGGCACGGCTGAGCGCTCCCAGGCCTGGTGAGCTTCAGGCATGATTCAGCCCAGAATGAATCCTGCTGGGCGCCCCATGGACTCACCCCCCCCATCTGTGTAGAGAAAAGAGTGTTAATTTTTCCCCTGCTTTCCCAAGAAGTACAAACACTTGCCTGCACAGCTGAGAGCTAATTTAAGCTGACAGAGTTACTGGTTCCTAGATGCCCCAGCCAACAAAGGGCTGAAAGTTCGGACGTAGCTCAGAGCATCACACAGCCTCCCTCCCGCATGTCGAGAAGCCAGATTTCGTAAGGACAAACTCCAGTGATGCGTCCACCCCACAAGCAGATGCCGTCTCCCCCACCTGGGTGAAGTGCCCGGCGGTCTTCTCATGGTCCAAAGCCACGGCACACAGCGCGGGGCTCGCGAGGCTTTCCCGAAGAACATGAGTCCTGCAGTGACGAAGATGAAAGCCCGGTCCCTGAATGTCCATAAAGGTCCTGGGAGCTGCAGGGGGAGGAGAAACAGCTCCTCTTCTCTACAATCCTGATTTTAGTGATTGTTGAGTGCACACAGTCCTCCTTGCAGCTGTACCATGGGCAAGCTGGCTGTGGTAGCTCCTCCGGGAATATGTCTGCACGGAAGTCAAAGGTGTGACACCACTTTGCAACGGTGCGTCTAGGCCAGGTAGACAACCCTGCTGCCTGCACTGACCCCCAGGCAAGGGTGGGTGGTGGCACAGCGCAGAGCAGCCCAAATCACACGGGCAAGGCTGGAGAGCACAGGCTGTTTTTCTTTTTTTCGTAATACCTGACCCAAGTTTGCCTACCAGGCCCTCCTTGAAAAATATGGGATTCAGACACGTTGTTCTGAACACAAAAGGCTGCAGCGGAAAACATGGTTCTGCATTCATCCTTTTCTGGTTTCTTCCTTTTCCTTGCTCGCAGTCCCCTGCATTTTGCTTTCCGTTCTGTCAGTGGACATAAGCTAATATGGAATGAGATATTAATGCAAAAGGCCTTTGGAAATATTCATTGCTCATCTCTTAACAAGATTACCTCTGAAATCCTCCATTGCTCTGAGGGAGATTTAAAGCCTTTCAGGCTCTCGGTAACCATAGCAGCACAGATGTGAAAACTAAAGGGAGACAACTGATGTGAAAAATCACTGGGGACATACACACACTCCGTTTGCGAGAGCGACACAAAGGCAGGGGAATTTCTTATCGGCAACAAATGTCCTTGCTTAACTCTGTGTAACCTTTAAAAAAAATCGACTTCAGAGAGAAATAGCCTATTTGCCCTTATTAAGACCTTCTATAACACACACGCTCTTTGCAGAAATGAGTTGAACTACTGGCAGCTGCGGTGATTTTATATTTTTCTGCATACATACAACAAAAGACCCGTTTGCTCTGCCAGGGCGTCTCCTCCGCACACACGGTTGTTGCCAGCCACACAGACCAGCTAGATCAGAGCGCAGCGACCTGTGTCGTGGCTCACAAGGCAGGTACCCGTCTCTCCTTCCTCAAAGCAGACTTTGGAAAACCCTCCAGGACCAGCAGAGTTGCTTGATGGTTCCCAGCATGTCTATGAGCTTGCAGCTCCTTCCCCGCAGGCTACTGGGGTAACGGAGTGGGTTTAGCGCCAAGATGGGCCATTGGAGCTGTTTCCTCTCTGCCGCAGATTCCTCCTTCCCCTTGGACAAGCCATTTTTCCGCCTGTAAGAGAGAGCGACGCTGGCTGAGCGTTGTGAGGTTGAACAAAGTCACGATGCTCTCTGGAAGAAAATCATCCAGAAAGTGAGCAGTGGTGAGGGTTATAAACTCGCCTCGCCAGACACCTCCTGAGACCTATGGCTGGCTGAGACATGCAGAATTATGTCCCATATTCAACTGGGAGAAACTGTGGAAAATACATTTGGTCTCTCTTGAAAAACCAAACATTCCTGTATCTATGTCAGTCTAAGCACAAAGAAGCATTAATAAAGCTTATTTACTAAACAATTTATGGCTTTAGACAGCTTCGGTTTCCAAAGTTGGCTAAGAGAATTTGTCATCTCCTGCTTCCACAGTGTCTTCAGTTCTTCATTCCCACTGAAACCGATGGCACGCTAGGCACCAAAACGCCATCACTGCTTCAACTACAAGCCCCTCCTGCCTCTTCTGTTTGTATGCCTAAAACTGGCATTCCCCAGACGCTCCTGGCCGATCCAGCCCCTTCCCCTCATCTTTGGTCTACCAAGGTCCTTGGGCAGGCGACCACATCTTCTGCAGCCTCAGCACGCCGGGAGACAGCAGGAAGAATGAAAAGACGTGAAAACAGAATGAAAAGGGAAGACAGTCATTGCTCGGGGAGGGAGGGCTCTTGTTAAAACTAAATTTTAAAAAAGTTAGAACAAAAGGCATTTTCCATGGCCATAGCTTTAATTAATATTTTTAATCGGCTCCCCAACTGAGCCATAGGGTGCCATGGTTCTGGAACTGGACTGTTTTTGGAAAACAGTCCCATTGCTAGTGCTATTAGGGAGCCCAGCTTTCCTCTTCTGACAATGCAGATTCAGCAGGGAGATGACGCTGCTTACCCTGATGAAATCTCTTGGCTTGCCTTGTAATGGGATCAGATAGGAATAGCCCTTAACACTGCTAAAACATGATCCTAGTGGAGACTCAAATGGCAGGAGTAATTCTTGTGAAAAAAGGCTTTTGAAATCAGCAGAATAAATTGAGCCAGAACTAAATGCTAAAACTGGTACTTTGCTGTGAAAAGAATACCAACTGCATTAAAATTACAAAAATCGGTCCAAAACTAAAAACAGACATAACAAAATTTAGGACAAAGGTTTATCTTCAACTTTCGAACAAATGCCCACTGTATTTGCACTTTCCATAAATCAGCTTCTAAAACCAGTCTAGCAAGAGAAAGGAAAGGGGAATGCTAAGGAAACACATCCAGACAGGGCACCCTGCACGTCTGCAAAGAAACTTGCTTCTGAAAGCAAACGTCCAGCCACTCAGAGAAGGAGAACAACATGCCTCCTGCTCTTCTGCACCATAAATCAACCAACCATTCCCCTCCTGACATTTAGCATGCCAAGTCTGCGTCCACAAGTTAAACACCGGCTCTACCCCTTCCCTGTTCTGCCCCTTCATTTGGGTCTGCAGCTCACACTCCTTTCCCCTTGCTGAAGGTGTTCTCCCTGGTACCACAGGTGCCAGGGTTAGGAGCGGCGATGGGTTTCTTAAGTTTTGTTTGGTCTTACCCAGATTTTGCCATGCTGGTGCACAACCAGTGACACTCACTTCTGCAAGGAGCTGCCCCAGGTTAGCTGGCTCCATGGGTTTGCAGTGCCTGTTCTAGAGCCCTAAATGTTCTAGATCCCACTGGAGAACTTGGGAGCTTTGGGTCAAAATTTTGCTGAATCCAAAACATGGCCAGCGTTCCTATCTGGGACTCTCTGATAGTTGAACTTGGAGATTACGATGCACAGTTTTCAGGGCAATCCTGTTTTTCCCTCAGGTCAAATATTTCCTACAATCACAGAATGATTGATAGTTGAACTTAGAGATTATGATTCACGTTTTTCACGGAGATCCTATTTTCCCCTCAGGTCAAATATTTCACAGAATCATAGAACAGTTGAGCATATTTGCAGCCACCTAATCTGCAAACAAGTCCCCAAACACACACGAGTGTCAGAAATGACATCAAGCAGCCCCTGCCATGTCCGCCCATGAGTCACCCAACAGGAGGGGGAGCACTATTTAGCTCCCTGGCTGAGAGCAAACCCATGCCAAGAAACACAAGTCAGTCTTCACGGAAGACAAAAGGGCAGGACGGCTCGTGCAGAGCTCTGGCTGCAAGGCTGCCAGCAGCACCAGCGCTCCCGGCAGTGGCGAGAGATGCGAGTGCAATGTGCAATGTAGCGCGGTGCTCTCCAGGGCTGGAGTGGCTTTCCAGGACAGAGCTCCGCGGATTGGCCCGGAACACCCTGCTCTCCTCCCTCCCTGCCCTCCCTCCTTCAGCACCCTCAACCCATGGAGATTGGACAGCCGGGTGCCACATGGCAGAGAGGAGCCAGGATAAAAGATGAGCTGGTCCGGGGAATTGTAGTGTCTGCAGCAGAACAGCCAGGAGAAGTTCACAGGAAGGTGGCAACAAACTTTGCTGGGTGCACCGAGCCGGACAATTCAAGGCACGGAAGACACCAGGCATTTGGCTGCAGGGGAGGAAGGACGCCAGAGCTACAGCCATCCAGAAACACCCACAGCCTGACTGCGAGCTGCGGTGGACCCCGTCCCCTGGAGAGCCTCTGTGCGCAGTCATGTCCCTGGTGGTGAAGGAGAAGAACCAGGTGCGGCTGGTCTTCTTGGGCGCTGCCGGCGTGGGCAAGACAGCACTGATTCGCCGCTTCCTGCTGGACACCTTCGAACCCAAGTACCGGCGCACAGTGGAGGAGCTGCACAGCAAGGAGTACGAGGTGAGCGGGGCCACAATCAAGGTGGAAATCCTGGACACCAGTGGCAGCTACTCTTTCCCAGCGATGAGGAAGCTCTCGATCCAGAGCAGCGACGCCTTCGCCCTGGTCTATGCCGTAGATGACGCAGAGTCCTTCGAGAGTGTCAAGAGCCTGCGGGAAGAGATCTTGGAGGTGAAGGAAGACAAGTACCCTCCCATCGTGGTGGTGGGCAACAAAGCGGAGAGTGGCGGGGAGAGGCAGGTGCTGGCAGAGGATGCCCTGTCGCTGGTGGAGCTGGACTGGAACAGCCGCTTTGTGGAGACGTCGGCCAAGGAGAATGAGAACGTCCTGGAGGTCTTCACGGAGCTCCTGCAGCAAGCCAACCTGCCCAGCCGACTCAGCCCAGCCCTCTGCAAGAGGAGGGAGACGTTCCCCAAGGAGCCCACGCTGAGGCCTCCCATGAACAAGACCAACAGCTGCACCATGTGCTGAGCCGGGCCACGTGGGGCTGGGAGGAAGGCGCTGGCAGCAGCAGCACTGGCTGGAAACTCAGGTGGGCTGGGTGGAGAGAGGCGCTGCCTCAGCCAAAACTAACCCTGCTCCCTCCCGCCCCTTCCCTCCTCTTCCCCACCCAGCCTGTTCAGACTGGTTAGATTTGTAGATCAAGAGGAGGAGGGACTTGGAAGGGATGCTGGTCGCTTTGATTTGGTTGGCACTGGAGCAGCATGGGGAGAGGACGAGTTCCCAAAGGAACCTGAGAAACCGTGGTCCATCTGCACACCGCTACCCCGGGGCAGCGCTGAGCCAGCGGGTGTAGTCGCGTCGAGGGAGAGGGGGCTCAAAACTCTGTCGGAGAGCATGCTGCATTTGTGCAACAGCAAGCTTGCAGGCAGGGCTGCAGGAGGGACCTCGCGTGCTAGGAAGGGGGCAAACAACAGTCTTCTGTTGCATGCATCAGGAAGCAGATGCAGGCATCTGTGTAACTGCATTGCACCACACTGGCTCTGGTCTCCCGGGTCTCGGTCACCTTGCCCCAAGCATTCCCATGTACAACGGTCTAGTGCCAGCTACGTTTACAATGACAGAACCAGCGTCCAAAGTAGTTTTGATTTTGTACGTTAGGTAGGCGCGTAGAGCATGCAATAGGACAGTCTATGCATCTCTTCAGTTTTCTGTTTTCTACTTTGTTTTTTTTTTTTTAAACATACCCAATAAACATGTTGTTGCAAAGCAGAGCTGGAAAACCTGTGGGTTTCTTTCTTCTATGTTTCAAATGTTGCAGCGCTCGATATGACTTTTAAGCCTGGACCCCTTATCACTGCATTTGCTTTCCCTCCTCCATGTGCTGTCCTTCTCTGGAGCGTCCTGGTACCGGAGGACGCTCCCCCCACTCTCCACCCCCTGCCCCCGGCAGTGTCAGTACCTTTATTGTTATGATTTTCCTGATAATTTATCCACTAAAACTTTACCAAGCAGTAAGTAACTAAAAATAAAACAGCTCTTCGGACATCCAAGTATAAAAAAAAAAGAACAACAGCCATTAAAAGACAGCTGATCCACTGAATTAAAACCATAAACACATTAAGAAAAGATAATAAAAGGAGGGGAGGACGTGCACACAAGGGCAGTATTTACCATGCTTTAGCACGTACGGCACTGATGTACCCTCCTCTTGCACAGCCCGTCCTTGCTGCAGCCAAGCGTTTCGCCTGCTCAGCAGCCAAACAAACACAATAAAGGTATTAAAATCTAGCAAAGGGGCCCCCTAACCTGATCCACACCGTTGAGTAGCACCGTGGCAGCTGGACAGTTTTGGGTCCTCAGTGTTCAAAAAGTTGGCCCTAACATATTGCCAGCTCGCGTCCACCCCTGGGGTTGGGGG